TTTATTTGTTTAATTATCATTATATTTAGCAACTGTACTCTGACAGTGTATAAAGACTTATGTAAATTCATTTTATTCTGCTTTAGATACTCAAGGTGGAATCTGATAGAATTCCGAAACGTTTATCCATGTCCTCTTTTGTCAATAAACAATGTTGTATATCATAAGTGTCGTAATTTTGTTTATTATCAAACTTCATTTTCCTTCGAACACATCGATTGCTAGTAGCAACTTGTGATCAAGAAGCACTGAATTTTATACAGTAGTACAAGTTATTGTGAACTATGTATCAACATGGTTAAGAGCCATCTTGCTGATCTAGAAGTAATGTGTGTGTAAACATGCAAATGGTTATGAAAAAATATATTATTAGTGAAATGTTGCATATGTGATGGGCCATGTTCTACTTGAAGTTATATGACATATATAGTGTAGTATGTCAGTCTTATGACTAACTTTGTTTAGTACATATCTATTCAGTAGATATTGCAAATAGGTGCATTTCTACTTTTCGTTACAGTAAATAAGAGAACAGTAGGCTTTCCTAAACATTTTGTATTGAATTACAGTAATAATTCATGACAAATTATGTACAGAGTTATTAACATTTCAATGCAGAAGTATTTAATTCCTACTTCATGACAGAATGTATACAGACTTATTAACATTTCAAAGCGAAAGGATTTAATTCCAATTTTCATCTACTATGTTTGATGTTTGCTTTTGTTATCTAGCCGTACACTTTTTGCAATAACTGTTTAACTACATATATGTACATACGTTTAAAATTTAACCAAAATTAGGTAGCTCAAAGCTTTCTGGATGTTTTTGTTTTAAAACACAGATTGGTGTGTAACACAGCTTTTAATTGATATTACTAAATGAAACTATTATGTGACTTAATGAAAATCTGTCTTAATTTTTGGGCTCTTCCAACAGCTTTGTAATTCATATTATAACAAAAAAATTATGCTGCCACAATTTGTGTTTACAACAAACAATGTTTAAGAGATCATCTCCTCCAGAAAACCAAATTAGACCTTTTACTTTAGAGGTGTTGAAAACTCAGCCTATTCCTTCAAAGCTAATATAGATTCCAAAAGGATCCACTTAATTCTGGACACAGCAGTTATTTCTCATGCACCTACCTTTGAGATTTTGTGCATGAATTATCTCCCACCCAAATCATATGTTTTGACATGAACTGCACTATTACATGACCATCATGCAACAATAGCCCTCAATCAATAGGAGGATACCACATTCTCCATATACAGTACTCCCCCATAAGCACTTGCATTTCAAATTAACTTCATTGTTAAGCTCCCAAGATCATAGGTCTGTTAATGAAACCAAATTTTTTTCGGAAATGAGACTAGTTAATGACCTCTATTATATTTATTTGTAGAACTTGAAATACTATACCACATCTCAGAATTCCTTGCAGCTTCCATGTTTATTGCTGCTGGAGGTTCTTTGTTTATGGAAGATATTACCTTCATTTTTCACCATTTCAAAGATTTTGTATTCCTTCCCAGTTCTTCTATTTCCTGTGCAAAAGTCAACATTTTTGTCCATCTATTCCTACTTTCTGGATTTGCTCTAGCATCATATTCCTCTGTTGAGGAACACATCACTCTTTTTCTCTCTTTGCTGATGGTGTCAGGTTTATACTGTGCTTTCCCCTGCTTCTTATGTCTTAGGTTTCTTCATGGTCTTTATTCCATGCTTTCATGTTGTAGTTTTATTCTTCCATCTGATCCTGGTATCCAGGATAAGATATTCTTGTCTCAGAATCATTCTTACTCATGTTTCCATAATTCCTTTAACATGGCCTATGGTCATTTCCCTTCTGCCTTCTTTGATCCTCAATCCTTGAAATCTTTACTACCTGCTGGGGTATTGACTCTCTGTCTCTAGTATCCCTTAGGAGGGCTTACTTCTCCCATCTTCACCTTTTCATTGTACTGTAAATTTTCTATCTGTTTCCTTGATTCACCATGATCCAGGTTGTTTTTCTGGGGTATCTCTGGTTGGTCCTTGTCCTTACTTAGGCCAAGGTCTTATCTTTGGCTCTCTTCTCAGAGGATTTCTGTGTAGTTGTGATTTCTCCAGACTTGATACCCTTTTCTCTGTCATTCACATTTCTCTATCCTCCGTACATGGCTTGTCTCTCACTCTACTCATTTACCATGAGGTCTTTCTCACACCTTGGAATCTTGGGCAGAAGTTGCTTGCCATCAGTTTGCTTTCACTTTTTTGGTCTTCCATCATGTCCATTCCCATGCATCCAGTCAGTCTGAGTACACCAGAAATTGGTAGCTATTCTACATAGGGTGTTGGTTGTAATGAGATAAAAATAATGGGCCTTCACAGCATTGGTGAAAGCTCCATGTGCAGGAAAGAACTTCTCCTAGACTCAACAATTCTTGAACAACCGTCTTCCCTCAGAAACCAATTATCACTCTTCTTTGTACATTCTTTTAATTGTAGAAAATGCCATTTCCTTTAATTAAGAAAGTTTTAAAACTTACTGACCAAAAATTTATATAAAGAGCAGTATATATTTCATCACATGTAGCAAACATTGCAGTAACAATATTCTGCAATCACAGCACCAAAATTGTCTCCTACATTTTCACTCTATGGCAGACCTCGACAGATCCTGAGGATGACAAAATCTTGCCGAAACATCATACATTTATAATAAAGTTTTTTCATTACCCAGTCCAGCCATCTCAAAACATATTTCCTAAAAAGTGGGTTCCTTGTTATAAAGTTTTAACTTTACTGCTGTTTACACCAGGAAATTGGGGCTACATACATATTTATTTACTTTCGCAGCAATAAGTGCATGCTAACAATCACATGATATCAACAACCACTTGATAGTATTGCCTGAACTAACTGCCTTTGGTCCTTTCTGAGTCTAAACATGTGCATTGATTGGTTGAATTGATAGAAAGAAGAAAAGCAAAATGGCACAAAATTAGTAAGCACCTCGTTCCTGAAAATACATGAAGTGCTGAATCTACCATTAAGGTCCTAGAAACAAAGGTTGATTTAGGACTCAAATAATGTGAAAATAGTTCCGGACTTCCAAGAGTCTAGAACTGTTCTAGATTCAAGTTATATTGAACATAGCCCTATGTATGAATAAAATGAGAAAAAATACTAGGTGCTGCAATGAAATTTTTAGTCATTATGGTGACCTGGCATCCGGGATTTGTTGAGGCCTGCTCTATGGTATGTCCAGGTGAAATTGAATTAACATTAGAGCTATAACAGATAAATCCCCTAAATAACAGTAGATTTACCTAAGACATAGATTTTGGAGTAATACTAAGCCTCTTACTAACTGAGTTCATGCAAAATGAAGTAATGAGACTGGTCACAAAGTGTAATAAAAAATGAGTTATCTTTGTTAGAACACCAAATACAAATACAGTATGGGTACTTGCTTTTATTTATTTGAGTTGTTCTCATTTACTGGATCCTCTATATCCAACTGTTGAAGTTTAATCCATGTTCCAGAATGATTAATCAAACATTCCTTAATACACAGGAAACCTTGCATTTACCCACGTGACTAGTCATTTTCCTTACAACATAACCTCTAGAGATCACGCGAACAACCATTGAAGGACACTGCTGTCAACATCCTCCCCAGGTGGTAACAGGTATTATCCATTCTGAGAACAACAAAGGTAGATCAAAACGTAATCAACAAAATTACTTTCTTGGCCACATGTTATCTGAAAACATGTACTTGTACAGCACAAAGAATCAATTCAGTATAAATACTTTAGTCTTAAAAGAAGATAGAAATGCATTGTATATTCAGATATCACACATGCATATGAATATGGAGATCTATATTTTATTTTGTATTTTATGCCTTAGTTGATTACTTTCCTGAGTGGAAGACTGATCTCGGTAACTTGAAGATGTTTTTATCACCATCTTCATTTTTCTTATCTGTGTGTGTGTGTTTATTTTTGTTTTTTTTGCTGGACAATAAATTAGAAGAACCAGAACTGTCTTGATCTAGATATTCAAAATTGTAGTCTCTCTTCTTTCTCCTGTTGTTTCTTTCATTGAGAAGGTTATTAATCATGACTATAATATGGCTGTGGTTTTGCTAGATAGTAGATAGGGACAGTGGGAATCTCGTTAATCCATTCATGCATGTCAACTATTTCATTAGGGCATATTTCATATTTCAACTGTCAACAAATACAAAATTATCAGGCAAAGTATTCCCCAAGTTAACTATTTCAAATAAAGTATGAAGAATTAAAATTATATGCTTATCTTAATGTTGATAACCCACTGAATTTGATGGGCCAAATGACCTGTTGTTATTTGTTCTTATGTTTTTGTGTGAAGTAACAAAAATGTATTTACTTATTTTTAGGATAGAAATATGTGTATATGTAAAAATTCATTCCATTGGCTTCCCCTTTTCACTGCAGAATAAGTAAAGAGTAAGAATAAAACAGTGTATTAGATTACTTTATGCTTCTTAAAGAATATTGTATTCTTGAGATTTAGTGTTGAAAAATATTGTTAAATGAGTTGTCAAGTACTTTTAAAATTGGCATCTTATGCCAACTTTCATAATTTTTTGTTATCCTTTATAGTAATTATTTACATTGTTTAACTGCATTCATTTCAATGAAGTTTCATCCAAGCAAAGCTTCTAAGTTTTCCACATATACAAGTAAGAAAATAATGTTACTTGCATCACATTTGAAGTGATAAAGATGATCAGTTGATATTGCAAGTGGTCAGAAGGCTTATGACTCAAAATATATACCTGTAATTATGTTAATTACTTTAGAAGCTAGAGTGAAAAAGTTGAGCCTAAGCACATCATCCAGATAACCAAACAAATTCAGCAGTTTTTATCTTCATGGTTGAAATTGTTTATTTGTATAGAAATTTTTCTAAATGTTGAAAGCTTATAGCATATAATAATATTAATATTCTTTTTACAGGCTCTTGAATGATCTAAAATGTGGGACAATTTATTCTACCCGTTGTCTTCTGAAGTGGCACTTACAAAAACAGTTTTCATGACTGTTCATTATCTAAAACCATGTTCACTGTGAAACTGCAAATTTTATAATACATATAAAAGGCATGGCATTTTTATGCCCTCTTAGAATACGGCGAGGTAAAAGAAAGAAAGGTTAGTGACTCAAATGTTTAATGAAGGGAAGATAAACAGCTTGGTGAATTTTTAATTTGTTTTATCAGAAGTAGTAAGTTAATAGACAGGTACATTCAAATTGTATATGAAAGCTTAAAATAAGTGTAAATGCATTTTGGTTACACTTCTTGAATATTGAGATTTATTGGAAGAAGAAAAAATTCAGTGTGTCCTGAAAGATAGGAAATTGATTTTATAAATAAATGTGGGCAATGTGTGCTTATAATATATATATAAAAATAGAAGTTGCTAGAAATGTTTTCATGTCATAGAATCTGACTTTAAGATTTTTTTTTAATTTATTTATTAATAGTTTTAGTTTAGTTTAGAGGATGAGACAGCTGAGATGGACCAATAGGTCCCATGTTGTTCCAAAACATTGTTCTGTTAAGCTGATCTTCAGATAACTCAAAATTACTTAAAATGTATTGTTATAGGATTGATAAGAATATTAAATTTCCATCATAAATAAGTGTAACAACTAACATTCACTTATACTGCTAGGGTGGCAAAAAGGAAATTAATCTTTAAAAATATTTTAAGGAAACCATTTATATATAATGCACATATTAAACTATTAATTTGAAATAGTTTTACTACTGAAGCCATAGACTTCACAGTAAACAAAAATGTTCCTGTAGTTTTTGAAGCTCTAGTAGAATATTGGTCACAGGATACTAGTTTGAGCCTGGAGATCCTGAGGTACATCCCAGCCAGCATAACGTTCACCTATTTCAGATTAATATTATGTGTAGAATGTGAGCATGTTAAGCAGTGCATCAATCTGGAACAGCACTTAGAAGTGAGAAAAACTGTGGCTATAACAAATCACTTTCTGCCCTAGTAGTTAGTTGTACAATTACACTGCTGAAATTCATTTGTAGAAATCAGCTCTCCATCTGTGTTGTATCAATTAATGTAAAATCCATTCATTTATTAAATTAAATGTTGTCATAATGTGTAAATGACCTATGAAAAATAGCAGATAATTATTATGCAATAGTTTGAAGTATAAGAGATAATGAAAAGCAAAGTGTTACAATGATTCAAAAATGTAGACTTTGTATTTATTTTTGCATAAAATGTAGCTTTAAAAGAATCACATTATTATAGCACAATGCATGAAGATAACACTGTGACTATGTACTCAGTATAAATATACTAAAAATTGAAATACATCATGCCAACAGTAAATTTGAGATGTGATTTACTTTTAATTCAAACTTAATGTAACAAACATATACATCTATCTCATACAATACGCATAATGTAAGTAAAACTATGAAATTTAGTATTAAAAAGATATGGATTTTTGGCTTCACTTCGATTCCCATTATTATTATAGCAATAACTGCACTGAGGATGAAGAAACCTCCTGGTCTTTGGTAATACACTACTTAACTGTATTATCAAGTAAAGAGAAACAATTTTCTTTTTGTGTCTTGTCACATAGCACTTTAACAGAAAGTCAGGATAAAACAAAAATAAGGTTATTTAAATTTAAATAGTGTTACTGGTACAAATCTGGGATCAAACTAATTCCCCTTGAAAGAAAAAAAATGCTTAGTCTTAAATATTTTCTCTAAAATTAAACAACACTGTATCAAAATTTTAGAAATTCTACTCGCCTTTCCACAGAACAAAGAGCTATTACTGAGAAGCCTAGGGCATCACATCCTCCCTGCCCAGTAAACAACAAGAATGCTAGCATTTCAACAGAGGTTCATTATTTTCCTTGGCACTGCTTTGTTCAGGTCTCTTTTTTTTTTACTTGTTATTTTGTTACCATTCATAGTGTGGTCTTTCATTCCTTTATTTTCTTAATTTTGAGAAAGAAAAATACCACAATTTTAAACATTTCAATTGTGAATTATTTTAAATTTAAATTTTTCCTCGTAATCATACTTGCAAATTTGGGACCCATGTTCACGCCTGTGGTAAGGTTTTTAAACAGTACTATTTCCTGTTTTTTTTAACCCAATGTACAATTTAGTCATTACACAAATGAAATCTGTGTACCATAAATATCAGGCCAACTTTTATAAAATAATAATAATAATAATAAAACAGTTTTGTGGATCATCAGAATTATGAATTCATGTTTCCACATTTCTGAAACTTCTCAGCAGGTGTCATCTACTACTGCAATGTTGACTGGAGACACTCTGATGGTGAGAAATGATACCACCATTGTGAACAAGGTGTTTTTTTTTCCTCCCTGTTCTTGAACCCTGGATTTTCAGCCTCCTGCTTCTGTTACTTCAGCTGAGTCTACTCTATTTCTTAACAGGTTTGTCTGTTTCCATGTTTACTTTTGCTTCTGGTTCCCTCTTCCCTATGACAATCAGGTAATCCCACCTTTGTCCTTCACTGCTCTGATTATATTGGTATGTGTGTTTTGTTTTCTCTTTCTACTGTTGTTTGTTAAATCCTTGACTACCTTGTAGCATGAGTCTTAATCACTGGAATCTCTTCTTTTAGCTTGGAGATCTCTTTTTCTTCCCCCTTTTTTTTTCTCACTATCCATCTACTTTTCTTCATCTATTGCTTACTCAACTTCTTTACTCTCTGTCCATGGTTCACCTTCTTTAGAGACTTTACATCACAATCATCTCAACTTTACTGTGGAAACTCTGCACTCTTTTTCACCTCACTGTTCTTCTTTCATTTTCCCTCAGTTAACTTAGTTTCTTTGCCTCTGGGATGTACTTTTTTCAGAATACCTTACTTCCTGATATTTGCCCACCTCAATCTTCTTTCAGGTTTCAGGGACCTTTGTGTTACACCCTTCCTACATGATGTTTATTATTCTCTGGAATCTCAAGCTGATGTGGCTCTTAATCACTCAACTCTGCTCACTTTGGTTTCTTCCTTCTTTTGAACCAAGGACCCCACCAGGTTTTTCATCTTCTACAGCTTTATGAGATCACCTCCTCTACTGTTCCTAGTACTCTAGTTACCATCTCATCTCCCCCTTCTCTGCGAGAGCCAGGTCTTCGAAGCATCCTGTTTCTGTAGCAGTCCTTTGATTTCAATCTGGTAGGAGCTTGGCTCTCACACTTTATACACTTGTGTACTCCCTTTGCTGCAGACTACTGGATTACACAGGAGCTTTCATAAGAATTTTTCCTGTTCTTTGATTTTCAATTTCACCCAATTGGAACAAAACAATATTCAATCCCACTGTGGGGTTTCACTCCCATCTTTCTGCCATCCCCTTAAAGATGCGAGACTAGTGGCCTGTCATAGATCTGTACAGTTTGAGCCATCTCTGGTCATTCCTTGGTTCAAGTAGAATGATTTTCTTACTCAGTGGGTGATGAGGATGCTTTCTTCACATCCTGATTTATCTGCCAGCTGTTACTTCTTTTGATGTATCCACAACAGTTGAATATTCCATTCATAGCCCTTCTCTTCTGGTTCACTATGGTCCAGTGTGTTTTAGATTAGGTTTATTAGGCTTTTGATCAATGGTTGCATTCCTTATACCCAGAGCCGTAGCCAGTTATTTTTGGTCCCTGGGCAAGTTACATGAACTGTGCCCCTCCTCTCTTTTCTTTGTGGCCCTGTGCATATTGGTCGGCAGAGGTTCCATATAGTGTACTGGACTTTATGTCTGCCTATCCTTTTCACGGCACATATCCTTGCATACCAAATTTGTTATTCACTTTTGCTATTCCATCAAAATCAAGTGTTTTCATAACATACGATAGTTAATATGTATATTTTAAAGATAAATGCTAGAACATAAAATAATTATGAACAAATCACTGGTCTGCATTTAACTGTAATAAATCTCAGTTTTTACTTTACTTTATAGCAATGACAGATAGAGTAAAAACCCAATTATTCTGTTGAGCATGCTTCCTGTAATGTTTGGTAGCCAGCAGAATTTTAGGATGCCCGGGGATGTTGAATATGCTATTCCAAAACATACTTGCCCTCCACTGACGCTTTAGCTATTCATCGACATTGGCTTTGCCCATCTAAGCATTGGTCTCGCATGCTTCAATCTTTTATACCCCACTCAAATGTTCTTGGCAATATCTAATTTGCAAAACCCTTCATCTGCTTTGATGTGCCCTCTATCCTGACACCACCATATTTAAGCACCTCACTCAGATAATGTAATCCCTTTTTCTTGACAGAGTGTTAGTCATGGTTTTGTCTGACAAAGAGCTGTGGTTTGTTCCATTATGGATTGTGATTTTTGCGTTGCCTTTTAGATGGTGGAACAGTTGGGGAGGGGGACTGTTTAGTTTTTTCTTCTTCACCTGATGTTCCTGGTTCATGCTGAAAGATTTACTACTTTATCACATTATTTAATTTTGGATATCTGGGGTTCCAGGTTTGAACCAGTCACATTTGTTTGTATTTTTTTGCTCCTCACTCTTGCTCTGTGATGTTTCTTCACCTGCAATTTGTTGGCAACCTATCAATGGTCCCTACATAAATATGCGGATGAATGGGGTCTTCTTCTGACAGATTGCCTGCTTCTGTTCCTTCTATAGAGATACCTTGGTGAAGGGATTCTATCTACCTGCTGTAGCTTCTAGTTGTTACATGAGGCTTCTTTTTATCATCACTTCATGTTCACGGGTGTCCCAGAAGGGTTCGTATTGCAAGTTGCCATCACCCATTTGCTTTTTGTTATTGTTGTTGACCACTTCACATTTTTTTACTCTAGTAGCTGAATAGAATCAGACTTTAGTTTCAGAGCCACTCCATTTGGGCCAACCAATGATGTTGGCATTGGTATCAACCTAGGTGGGAGGGGGGAGGTCAGTTGGAGCAAGGTTACAACTATTGATGGACACCTGGTACTTCTTCACTGCAGATCAATGGGCAGTTCAGGTTCTGAAGTTGGTCTTTCCACTCAATTCTCCACCTCCATTATCCACTCACCCTGTGGTATTTCTACCTCCATCTGACCATTGAGGTGTGGATGTTCGTTTCATGGCTATCAGAGTTACTGATCACAGGGATGGTAGTAACAGTTGATCCCCTTCTTCTGGGATTTTCTTCCTGTTTAGTTGTTTTGCCTGAGACAAAGAGAGATTTATGGAAGATCATCATTCTTTCTCATCTCAACCCATTCTTTGTTTCTCCCTAGTCTACAGTGGAGTCCTTTCTCACCCAAGCATCAGGCATTCTTCATCAGGTCCATGCATGCCCAAGTTTGTGGTTGCTGAGGCATTTCTCCACATTCTCATAGTGAATTCATCTTACCTTTAGCTACATTTTGTATACAGGGATCAGGTTCTGCAGTTCAGGGATCTAGCCTTTGGTCTAGCATCAACACCATATGTCTTCTGCTGGGCTGTATAAGTTTTCACCATGTTTTATGCCCTGCTCAGTCACTTCCCATCCATCTCCAGCCTATGTAATGGGCAGTCAGGCTCTTACGTACAGGGATGGTTCTGTCTCTGGGGTTGTGGGCTTCCCTCAAATCTCTTGAATTTTTTGGGATGAGGACATGTTATCCCTTCAGTAGTCTCAACTACTGGATCTGGAACTTTATTCCACTTAATTTTCCAGTATCTTTTATCAGGAGCAACAAAGTTTTTGAGTGGTGGTTGGTTTTGATTGCCTCTATCATTATCATATGTGTGTGTGTATATATATGTATACTGCCCCTCTCTCCATAATTTCTCTTCACAGATACTTCACTTTGGGATGCAGTGTGTATCTTCATGGTCAGGAATTCCAGGGTATATGAATGGAAGACGAATCTTCATTCTGCATCAGTAACTTAGAACTTCTTGCTATCCAACAGGCAATAGTGCAAGGTCTAGATCCTTTGCAGGGGAATATCCTAATAAGACATTTCTTCAATTCCAGTGGTTTCTTAAATTTAGTTCTTTCTCTCTGGGGTCTATTCCAGTCATGTCAGCTTCCTGGCTTGCAATTTTCCTGGGGTGATGAATTTCGCAGCAGATTGTCAGTCTCAGTCCTCATTTTCTCCTGCACAAATGGATTCTTCTTTGTGCGGTTTCCATTAGAGTTGTTCTTTCTTTAGGCCTCCATTGATAGTTTTTCCACTCATTGATACTCATCTACAAGCTTTGGAGTCTCCACTACCTCATCCTCAGGCTTGGGTGGTAGATACAATCAGTCCTGCTTGGATGGGATTGCACATCTATGACTTTCCCTTCCTTTCTCTGTTATTCAGAATTCTGGCTATATTTTGATCTTCTGCTTGCAGTATGTTGTTGGCCTGGGCTAGCCATGATTTTCTCTTCTTCAGTTTCTTCATGCCCCTCCCACCCTACCCTAGCTATGGCTCTGCTTATACCACTACTCTATGGAGGATTGGCATCCACTGTTTCAACCTCCCTTCCCTTCAGGAATCATCTCATTTGGAACAGCTGGTTCAGCTCTCCAATTCAGTCTTGACACCTACCCAGTATCTTATTCATTTGGGAGGTTCTTCATGTTAAATGTGCAGGGTGAGTTCGACCTTCTCCTGTAAATCTTAGAGACACACAAAACTTCTGATACCAAGACTCTCCTGTTTTCTTATTTTCCTGCACAAGAAGATTAGTTTCTTTTGGAGGACTCTCTTCTCTCAAGACACTTGTTCCTCTGAGACACACACACACAATCATCCCTTTCAGTGGACTGGTCAATCAATGCATTATATTTAGAGTTCCATTTTTTTACTTTGTCTCTCTCTCTCTCTCCTATTTTTTATTTTTTGCTGGTTTGATGGCTTACAATACCACATGATCTTGGATATCTCTTGTCTTCCACCTCACCTGGAGTTACATCTCTTCAAAGCCCCACAGTGGCTCAGTAGTAAATCTGAGGGCTTATAATGCTTAAATATTGAGGCTTGCAATACCCATGATGGGTGTAGCACATGGGGTTCATTGTGTAGTTTTGCATCTGACAACAACCAAACCTACAAACAAAACCTGTCAGCTGATGTTTCTGTTTGGTTAGGGTGTGGCTCTGAATACCTGTTCCATTTCTGTAGTCTGATCTCCAGAGGAACAGTCTCTGTATCAATGTTCTCAAGATGTTGGCTGCTTGCCTAGACTGGATCTATATCACAGAGTGTTCTCTATATTATCTGGTATTCTCTGTATTGTCTGGTATTTTCAGTGACTTTGCTCCCACTTTAGGGATCCTCGTTTTTGTTGCCTTTACAACTCTACTTAATACCTAGTCTTCAATTTTTTTTGTCTCCAGTCAACACTCCGTGTAATTATGGACAAAAGATTTTTCATGTGTACTGAAAGCTTGCCAAATTTCATGAAGATACATTATGTGCTTTTAGAGTCATAGTGTATATACCACCATGGTTACAAGGTTGTGTAAAATGTGTGAGCCCATTATGATGGGGTTAATATAGTTTTTATATTAAGTAAAGGTTTTTTCAAGTTAATTTTTTATGTTTATTTGTTAAATCTTTATCACAAAATATTCCTGTAATTTTTACTTTTGGTTTTCTTCTTTGTAGAAGGAGACAAACTGCCTTCTAGAACACCTAGTATTGGTCGTATCACTGGAAGTGCTAGTATTGAAACTTTAGTTCGAGTTGGAATAGAGAAAGAAAATGGACTATCTCCAGAATCTAAGATGGTTGTGCTTCATGACTTTACACCTTGTGTTGATGATGAACTAGAAGTCAGAAGAGGTCAAGTTGTTAATGTACTATATCAAGAAAATGACTGGGTGTATGTAATAGCTGAGAACAGCCAGGAAGGCTTTATTCCTCATTCTTACTGTGCACCACAACCAGCTGAACTAGCTTTAAATTTGAATCATAAAAAACTTCCAAGACATGAAACTGAAATTGATCAAAATTCATTGAGAGGGACTCTCTATGGTGAAAGTGGGGGACAACATTCTGATGCAGAAAGTTTTAGTGGCAACCATCAGATTAAAAAAGATGTAAGCAGTCTTGGTTTGCAAAAATCACAGTCATCATCTCAAGTGTCTTTGCCTGATGTACACCCATTTTTTAAAGATCCTGCTGGAAGGTACATTGTTCTATATACGTTTATAGCTAGAGATGAAAATGATGTGAGTGTTGAGTGTGGTGAGTTTGTTACAGTTTTGAATCGTGAAGATCCAGATTGGTTTTGGATTGTTCGTTCTGATGGTCAGGAAGGTTTTGTCCCAAGTGCTTTTGTCTACCCAGCTGATGCCATACAAGGTAAAATGCTCAAGATTCACACTGGATAATCTCAGTATGAACAATACTGATTACATATTACTAATGTTCTTTTCCACAAATGTTTCTGTTTACATTTGTACTCTACCTAATTTAAAATTAAACCGTGATTAATAATTATGGTAATTTGATAATATTTCTTGAGATTTTTTATTTCATCTTATACAACAAATTAGGGATAATGTGAAATACTTTTTGGAACATTGGTTTTAAAGCACATTTTGATATGAAATATGTGGATGTACAGATTATTTTGGCAGAAGATGTTTCTCACCTTTGTGAGATATAAAGAATATTTTTAATAAAAAAGTTGAGTACTAACAAACTGAATTGAACAAAGACAGGTAAAAACAATAATAAAAACAAACCTAACATTTAATTTATTTTTGGAAAAATAAAGTGTAACTAACTGAAACACTACTTTCCATGTTTGAACAGGTCATGTAGGGCAACAAGTTGTCAATCCTGCAGACCAAACACATCTTCCACAGTCTATGAACAACAATAATCATCATCAGTCTTCTGGAGTTTCTGAAGATCTTAGGTTTCATGGCAGTGAACTTGTCATGTTATATGACTATAAGGCACAAGCTCCTGATGATCTCAGTGTACGAAGGGGAGACTGGATTTATGCAGACTTGAACAACCAGACAGTGGACGGTTGGCTTTGGGCCTATGCTCCCAAGACAAGAAAGTATGGTTTTATTCCTAAGGCTTATGCAAGGCCTCCTGCTATGACATCATTATAGTTTGATTGTTAACAATATCAAAATACTATAAGCTGTGGAAAAAATAGAACTTGTGTTTTTATGCGTGTATGGTTTGTATTTATCAAGAGACTGTGAGTACAAAAACTTTTAACATGTACACAAACCCATGTATAACTTGTTTGTTATTGAATGTTATTCAATAGAGGCTTATGAAAAAATAATTCCACATACACTGTAGATGTTTGGAGAGTGTTAGTGTAATACTATTTGTTTAATAGGAAAAAACATTTTACTGTACATTCATACATTATTTGGAAAATAACTTGCATAATAAATTGATGTATTTATAAATATTAATTTTATAGTTTCCTTCTACATTCTATTAAATTATAAAAATGAGAAACTGAGAACTGAATATAACTATAGTTAATTTAGAAATGACTAATCTTCTAACTTGTACCATCTAATGATATCCAATCCAACATTCTGCTTCAGTGCTGGTTAAATTTTGGAATGCTTTGACACTGCACTATGCTGTAAATATTGTAGGAAAATGAGAAGTTTACCTTTTTGTTTCTAATTAAAAATTTAATCTTACATTAACTTTCTTAACATATGTGTAAAAAATGTGATCTTTCATGTATATTTAGTAATATATTGAAAAATAGTTGAAAGTGAGACTGAAAGAATATTAATTCTCAAGTTGAATTGGTACATGAAGTATGTGTTTTAGGATATTTTATCTGTTATTTTCACTGATTTTATTGGCAAACTAATTAGGGAAAATAGATGTTAATAGAATCTTCACTTTTTTTCTATAATTTATAATCATCAACATGTGCCATTAATAGGCTTCCAGTTTTATTTTTTCTAATTACTCCTCTTGACATTTGATGTTAAAAGGAAGTTTCACTGAGGTTATTCTTGTGTAAATAGAGCTTACTTGTTTGATCAGTGCACTTTTGTGCACTGAAGTATTGTTAAATTTAAACTGCAAAATATTCAAACCCTCACTAATGTTACTCTTACTTTACAAAGTAGTCATTTTTTTCTTTTTGTTAATCAATTCTACATGTTAGTATGTACAGAAAATGTTCTTGTTGCTCCTACAGATATAACTGCGTGAAAGAAACTTGTGTATGATATTTACAGAAACACATTGGAGTATTTTTATCATACACTTCAGAACATCATGATATCACAGTTATACATACGTGCAGTCCTACCCAAAGGAATGAGATGTTTTTATTTTTCAAAACACATAAAACTGGGAATAGTGATCGAAGTTTCTGACATTTGGTACCCCGTTGTGCACACGTATGTTTCTTCTTATTGTGTTATGGTTATTCCACTGAATGTTTTGTGTGATATTCCATATGATCTTTATTTTCCTGATTTAATTCTGACAACTGTGATGTAGTTTACATTGTAATAATACATTTTCATGCAGGAATCCTGTAATTTCATTTGAAATTGTCACAAATTTAGATCTGCTTTTTTAAACTTGTGTGAAATATATAATGTGTACTATACAAAGATGTTACTAATTATATACATTCCAACTTGTACATTGTATTTCTATAAAGTAGCTAGTATGTTTCTATGTTGTTTTAGTAGTTGTACAAAGGTATTTTTTAATCAAATAAGTACTTAAAGGAATGCTAGAATTTGGTATTTTGTTTGAATGTAGGATTATATTTAATATAAAGTGTACATGAAAGTGTCCATTTATTTGTTTTTATAAAGATGAGATGTTTTTTGTGTGCTTTTCTTTTTCATTTAAGTCTTTTTTTGTTCATAGTGTGCTTATTCATGAACTTGAAAGTTTGTGCTTTGATAGTGATAGGATGATTTTTCTTCAATATGATAAATACCCAGAGAAGCCCAATAGTCAAACCATTTCTTATTAAAGACTGAACTAACTACCATAAGAGCAATGTGTTATAATTTTATGCAACTAATAATGGTATCAGGTATATTCAGTACTTCTTATACTTTGTGAAAAATAATACTTATATAACAGTTGTTTGCTTTTTTTTTTTCTTTGTTCATGAGAAAGAATAACAAACACAATTTGGTTCATTGTTAGCCTCAATTCTGGCTTTTGTGTATGTTAGCTTTAAAATATAAAAAGGGTATATTAGTTACAGGTTTTTCTGTTCTTGACAGTTTCCTTGAAACTCTCATTAGAATTCATTTGAAAATAAATTACATACTTTAAGAATAAGCATGTAGAAAAAATATATATATATTTCAAACATAAAACAATCCTATTAACTTTATATTGTTAAACAAAAATCTTATAAATTAAAGTTCAGTCATTTTACAAGATGTTGATGCTATAAAAGGGCATTTTTTGTAATATTTAAAAAAATCTTTTATTGGACTGGATATAGATCAGTTTCACCATAGGTTGGGTTTTATATCAACTAAGTTTTCACATGTTGGTATTATTTTGTTTGTGCTTTTGTCAAACATGTAAAATTAAGGACTTCATAATAAATCCTGCTGTTAAATGTATAGTGGACTGCCAGTCAGTTATGTCAGCAGTTCAATTTTTCTTCATTTGATCAAGTTTGTGCTCTCTTAAAATATATTAGATACATATTAAACTCAAAATATTTCAAAACTTCATATCTTTTGCAACATATGTGAAACATGTGAGAGGAATGGTGTTGAACAACTGAAAAAGCAGTCCTAACATAAATGTCTGAACACAGTGACTAAAAATAAAACTTAAATGTATTGCCTGTATTTTTAACTTCACTTTCAAAGTCTCAGAAATTTTGTTTTGTTTTCAATGCAGATTAGTGTCTTTTTGCTCTCTGAAAGGAACTACTATTTGTTGTAACATGATTGCTTTATTAATTGCTGGCACCTTTAAGCAGTGGAAGTGACTGAAACAACTGTTATATATATACAATTTTGTGTAATATTGCAGATATGTAGGTTTACAAAGTTTCAGTTGGAGTACCAATTTTTATTGTATCAGACTGTCATTTGTGTTCAATAGTTTGAGAAGCATAGTAGCTTCTGTTTTTGTATTTGGTTCATAACTGTTGTTAGTAATGATAATGCAAAATAACATACAATGCTTTATCAGATTCATATGTTCCTCTGTAAAATACTGTTTAAATTCATGCTGAGTCGGTATGTTTTAAAAATGTATGAGATTAAAAACAGATTATCATTGTTATTATATAACTATATATATTGTTATTAATTTTCATGCTGTAAAGGATTTGTTGCTACACTTTAAGGAATATATTTTGTGAATATTTAAGAAATGAAAATATATTATCAAAAAATTTTCCGTATAAAAACTAGTTTAGCAAAGAATCCACATATCATGAAAATTTGACAAACTGTACTAGGATACACAATTTAGAATTTTCTTTATAAATTCTGAGGTTGTAAGAGAAACAAAAAAAAGTACAATCATGTAAACAAAGAGTGTCAGATTAATACATCATCACATATAATTGAGATCTGTTTGAACCTGTAAGCTTTCAAAAACTTTTAAGAGCATTTTCAACAGATGGAATACTTGACTGAACTAGTAGAAGATTCTTTTGGAATGTTTGTTTGCTTATTGAGTGGGGTACATGTATTCTGCCTAATGAACATGTGAAGTATTAATTTTTTTTTTACCTGAAATTTGTGAAATAGTTATTCTATTATTTATGTAATTAATGCTGGGTTATCAATGTTTCCAAATTATATAAGTCTTTGTATCGCATTAATATGTTCTATGTAGATTTTACTTCCATCAAATTACTGAGCTCTTGTTTGGTATAGATAAGAAATTATTCTAATGTGTTGTTTTTTATTGGAGAGTGCAAACTTATAGCATTTAGTAAATGATTAGTCACTCTCTCCTAAGAAAGTATGATAATTTAATATCTTAGTAGTTTTATACCTCAACTGGAATAAAATTTACATTCATAAAACATGGTCTTTTGGCTGCTACAAGATAAACTATCAAACAACTTGTTACATTCCAGATTTTTGACATACACATATATATACTGTATATATATATATTATTTTTTTTTTAAGTGGTTTGTACTGTTGATATTTGTTTTCATGTATTTTTATGTGAGTCATATATGGGGAAAGGAGTAAATAAAAGAAATATTTTATGACAGTTATGCATTGCTTTCTTTTGTTATCTACTTGTTTTGTACTTTCCAGAAAGAAGTTTTGAGACTTGGGATTTCTTTTCTCATTATGAATCCATTATATTATTTCATGATTAAGAGTTTCTAAGATATGTTGAAATCTTCTATTATTTGTGTACATGCCTTATTTTAACAACAAAGACACCACTGAAACTCCAAATGGAAAGTAATTAATATATATTAGGTCCTTGTTAATACTAATAGACAAAATTCTAACAGTTAATTTACAGGTACTGGTAAGTTACGCACTAAAAATAATAGAATACTAGAATTTCAAAACATACATACCTCCGCTTACACTAATGGCTATTTCTCAGTCCTCATCTTTGCCATCTAACATTGTGTTTGCTTGCTTTATATACTCCACTTGACTGCCCTCGGCAATATCTAATTTGCAAAACTTTATGCTAGCCCTCACATGCTCTCTATGCAGGTACAGTATATAAGCATTGTATGCAGACAATAAAATCACTTTTTCTGGACAAAGCATGAGCATTCAGACTAATGTTTTGTGATTTAAATTTTCTTAGTTTTTGCTTTGTCATAATCAGGAATTCTTTGTTTTCTTATCCAGAGATATATTTTGTTGAATTAGTTTTTTGTTTTTTCTGACAGATATATTACAAAAAAAAACAAAAGTTCGATATGATGCTGATTTGAATTTTTCATTCTGAAATGGGATATTCAGGGGAGAATTTAGACTTCCTGCTCCTCCTTTCACTAGAGCTTCCTTTCCTGAGGAATCATCTGATCAGCCTCTTTCTGCCTAATTGGGACTTTAGGGTTATTTTACGTGCTTTATTACATCATTCCTTCGAACTCATGGCCTCCTGTTCATTATATCACCTTTCCCTCACAGTTTATTTTTTATTACCTTTAGCTGATTTATTTGCCATTCGTGTTAAGCGGACTCTCTATCATTCTACCTATGTTTTGCTCTATTCCGACTGATCATTTATTCCAAAAACTCTCTCCCAGAAAAGGAAACAAATCTTTTTCTCCTATTCATTTACCTGGCATTTCTCATCTTTACGGTAGATCAGACCCGGATTTTTATGTCCTGTCATGGTGCTTAGATGTTATGTGGCTCATACGGAACCATTTCGAGGTCCTAGGAACAGAGTTTTTATTCATTAGGATCCTGCAGTGACCAGGGATTTATCACCTGTTTCTTTAACAAGGCTTCAGAATTTGATCCATATAGCCTATTCGGGCTTATCTGTTAACGATCACAGTGTGCCTCATGTCACATCTCACCAGATTTGACACCTATCAATGTCTTTGGCTGCCCGGTTGAACTGTTCTCTAGAAGATATTTTGTGGGCCGGTATGTGGACTTCTCCTGAGATGTTCAAATTTCATTACCTTCATGACCTGGCAGTTTCCTCTTTGATGGGATTTCGTCTTCCCCCTGTTGCTATGTTGACTACCTCTACTAGATTTTAACAGGGTGGTGAGTAACGTGTTATCTGACTTACAGTTATTGTTCTTTTCTCCTCTAGGGTCCCTATTGATTTCCTTTGGATCCCATTCAGTTGCAAGTGTTGCCCAGTCAGGTATGCTTGTATTTAATTTCAGCACTAGCAACCTTTATATTGGTTCCTGGTTGCAATGGGTTCTGCCTTTTCCATGTGAGACTCTAGCTATTAGTGTCAGTGGAGGTATGTATGTTTTGGAAGTTATCGTTTTCCTAAACTGAAAATGTATTTCCAAACGTACTTACCTCTGCTGACACTCTCCCTCCCTTCCTTCCCACTAAAAGCCGGTGTTAGTGACCAGAATGAGGTTTGTAAGGAATGAGTACCTGCATAGTGTGAGGGTCGGTGTAAAGTTTTGCAAATTACATATTGCTGAGGGCAGTCAAATGGGGTATATAAAGACTGGAGCAAGCAAACACAACATTAGATGGCAAAGTTGAAGGTCGAGAAATAGCTATTAGTGTCAGCGGAGGTAAGTATGTTTGGAAATACATTTTCACTTTACGAAAATCATAACATTCAGCAGCTGTTTAAAACTAAGTTTCTATTTTCATTTTAGTATGGAGCAGTTATTTTCAAATTCTTTACTTTAAGATGTATTATGTAATACTCTTATTCAAAAACTAACTTAAAAGGTTATTAACACAACAATTGCTTTTGTTTTTTAGTAGTACTGACAGATACATCTTACACTTTAACATTTATTTTTAACCCTAGAGTTACCAGTGGGGGTTCATATAACTCAATGTCTTTTTAAACAAGTTTTTCTAAATATCTGTACCAGGGCTGGGGGTGGCATAGAGATTCACATCTCATACTCTGAATTGAGGATTGATATTTCATGTCCATTTGCCACAAAAATGTGCTCTGCACTTTGGCATGAGAGGTGCATTATAAAAATAACAACCAAATCACACTATTAGGTCAGAGAAGACTTTATGGTTGATGCTACTGTCTTGCCGTCTTCTCTAGTCTGTAAGTTCAATGAGTGGTGGTTATGCACAATTATTCCTTATGTGGCTTTAGGCAAAAATTATGCACCAAATTGCTTGTGGGCCTTTAAAATTGTCAGCTACAAGGATCCTAATAATGTATGAGTCACAAAAGAATATTAATATTACAATTAATCCCACCTAAGTAAAAGGTTTGTGTGCTCTTGTTTTCATGGTTGTCACAAGAAGGGAGTATGATAACATGTCAGAATAGTACTTTGCATATAGTTTTGTTGAATGGTTATATGTTAACATTCAGTCCTGACAATAAGACCAAAGTTACAGACTTATATAACAGAACATAATTTAAATAGAAAATGTAAAGTTACTTAATATGATGCTGGTGAATAATGTGAAAACCAGGTTGGTAATTTGAGGGTTAAATAATGCATAGTATGTATACGTTTTTTGATAAGTCGGTTGACTGTATTACCCATTTACTGCTTTGATTTTTTAACTTTGTACACTAAAAAAACAATCACTTAGATTGTCACTGGTTCTTTTTTTCAAGTTGTTAACAAATTAAAAAACAAAATAGAATATATAAATCACAGTACTCTAGAAAAAGTTTTATGTACCAATATTTTGCTATTACAGCTTCATCAAGATATAATATTGTATCCAAATATTTTACATTAACTAATGTAATTAACTGATGTCATGTTCAATCTAGGTATAATTAATAAATTGTTATTATTAGATACTAATTACCAAATAGCTTATATTTTCCATTTTGACTGGTTACCTACTGCCATTTGCAGGGAATTCCTGAGAAAAATTGTCTCTGTTTGCAGGAAATAGCATACAGTCCTGGTTCATCTGGTCTGAAAGGCTGTTAAGCTATTCAACCATCAAAGCTCTCTATTTGGATGATTTCAAGTTTTGCTGACTTCTTGCTAGGTTATCTCAGGCTTATCAATAAGTTGGGGTATAAAGAAGGCTTCTTTTATTTTTATATTTCTCATGCATGTCTCCAATCCAATTATTTTGGTGTTATTCCATTTTATTAGTTTATTTTATTAGAGATTGTGGGCTAGTGCAGATAAAATGACAATGCACTCTTGCTCCTTAATTTTGTTGGTATTTTTTGCTGTTCATGTTCACATTCATAAGGAATATCATAAATAGTTTTCTATCTATTGGGGCTTTAGTTAGCTAAGTGTGCATTAACTATAATTGTATTGTTTTGTAGCTTGTGAAAACTCTTTTAACTTTGTAATATGCCTGATTAATACAAAACTACAATAACCATACTCAGCAGGTCTAATGGACAATGAAAATTTTATTTACATTTAATCAGACTAGTTTCACTTATTATGTTTTGCATCGTGATATGTAAATGTTGATTATTTAATGACCTGAAAATTTATATACTCTAGTGAAATTAATTAAATCTTTATCTTTATGCTCTTTTATTTACATCAGAAAAGCTGTTTGACAAGGTCTTCAAAATGTGTAATAATCAGAAACGTTAACTGATTCTTGGATCATTAGTGACTCTGCTTTAAGAACAGCCTTAACAATCAGTTCTAATTTTATAAACTAAAAATCTAAATCTGTCTGCCTTTTTGGCTAAAGAGAAAACTTGCAAAGTTATCCTTACAAAAGGCACAGAAAAGTGAGTATGCCCAAAGATTTTCAGACAGGGAAACCCTACTCAGCTTCAGAGGAGCACATGTCCTTCCTCAATGAAAACTAAATCGAAATTAACAAATTTATTCAAGCTTACTTTAATCAATATTGTTGACTTCACTATTGGTTGTTAAACACACACTCTCCAACCAGTCAAGATAAGGAACAAAGTCATATCCAGTTAGTGACTCAGGATCAACCAACAGTTTCAATCTGTAACTTAGGCCTTATTGTTAGGACCGTGTGCTAACATATTACTGTACAATAAAACCATATGCAAAGCATTGTTCTGAGATTTGATGGCACTCTGTTCATGTGGCAACTACCAAAACTTGAGTGCTTAAGCTTTTAATTCTTTTTACAACTTAATGGTTAATTTCTGAAATTAGTTACAACAGTGTGTGGACTACTACTTGGTAATATTTTTATCAACATTAGATAAAACTCTTTTTCAAGAAATTCACTATGTATTACATTAAAGATAACATTTAAATTGACTAGTTTCATCAACATATATTTGGTATATCATTTCTTATGCAATCTTAGGAATGATACCATTATATGCAGACATATCCTGTTGGCTTGAAGGTAAAGGGGAGAGGAGTGTTTCCTACCACTTTATTATTGTTATCAAATTTTCTGTACATATTCATCATGTATTGTTAACATAGTCAGTCAAGGGAACTAGTAAATTCCTCTCACCCTAGTTACTCAAGGAACTAGGATGACGTGTACTTTCTCATAGGACAGATTGTTATAAAGTAGAACATAGTATACAGAGAAA